ACACTAAGCTTCCCATTCACAGAAGAACTGATTCAGCTTTCCCTTTTCCTGTGCTTCCTTCATTGCATCTAAACATGGTGCCCAGGATTTAGCTGTCGATACCCAACCCCTTTGCTTAATGTAAGAATTGAAAAAAATCCCTGATGTCAATGTGTAAGCTCACAAGTTAATGCAGCTGTGGCACTGTTAAACCAATCCTTTCCTGCCATCTAGAGGACATGTACTGACCACAAATGTCTCCACAGTGCCTGAATCCAAGATAGTTACACATACAATCCAACACTGTTAAATAAAGCAAGTTTCTATATGAAATGCTTAATCCTACCCAACAAAACAAAAATAAATCTAATTGAGGTCTATAGACCATGTGCACAATAGTTTCATTTTGGCACAATCCTAAAGATATTTTCTATAGTAAGGTTCAGTTAAAAGCACAGGAAAAATACTGAGGTGAGAACTTAATCAATCATTTTACCACACATAGTCATGTCTTCTGACCTTAGCTCTAGGAAAAGCCCTCCTGGATACCTCAGCAGAGCAAGATCTATGCTGCTATGAACAACAGTACATAACTGCCAACAGCCCATACAATGAGAAAGACGTAACAGAGATCTCTGTGGTCCCAGAAACTGAGGGGGAAGTTAGAAAAAGCATAGTTGTATCATCACCTGACATTATTAAAACATAGCTCAGTCTCAGAGCTTGCTTTCCAATGTATTACTTACACAGCACACTAACTCTTTCAGAGCCTCACTCCCCGCTTTCATGGTGGGCAAGGCAGAAACTTAACATGCTACAATCCACTCTACGCAGTATGCAGACAGTATGCACCTTTCTACTGCTCTACCTAAGCAGCAAAATATCAAAATATTTAATGACAGAGGATAGTCAAGTTAATTTTTTTTTTTAAAAAGTTACAGGTTGTTCCAAGAACTAAGTTTGTATTGCCAATGTTGGCAATCTGCTTCCATTTTTCATATTTTTTCTTCGCTGCTGTCTACATGGTTCTTTTACATGTCTAACCCATCCACGGGAAAGGGCAAATGCTAAATGCTAACTCCATCAAAAGTACATTTAAAAAAAAAAAAAAGCACTTCCTTTTGGATTTCTTTTCCTCTTACTTTGCAAGTGAGCACTCTTCACTAAAACCAACCACAGGACGCAACACTATAAGTGATGCCAAAATCTCTTTAGGATAAAAACTAGAGCTTCTTCTGGGATGAAAGGAAGCTAGTGTTCAATGAAGATGTTTAGTGAACTGGCTACAGGTGTGCAAAATTCAAGCCCCAACTCTGCCCAAGTCAAAGGATCTAAGATGAAACATTTTCCCTTAACTCTGTCTACACTTAGGATGTCAATGATATGTTCCTTTGATACCTTTTCACAGAAAGCAAATCTAAGAAAACAATTCTTAAAATTATTTTGATAAAAATTGAGTAGCTCTAGTGAAGTCATCTTCACATTCACAGTGGCAGTCTGCATAAACAGCTGGAAAGAATCACTGAGTTGGGGATACTGAAATTCTTCACTACCTAGGTAAGAAATTCCAAAAAACCCATCAACTTGTATAGAAAGAATTATCCAAATTATTTGGACAAAGCCAGACTTTGACAGGGATCACAACTGTGTAATGATAAAAGCCAGTGTCAACACAGTTATAGCAGTATAATCTCTATCTGTGTAAAATACCTTAATTTCCTAAACCAAAAAATAGTATATGCTTGCACAGCACAAACTTAAACACCAGGTCAACAGTGTTGCTGGAAAAGAAAAAAAAATCCTATTCATATTGTATTTATGGAATTTGCTACACAGAAAAGAACAAAAGTCTCCCGAGAGATAAAAGCATGAACTTCAGAATACTCCCAGTGATGAACAGCAAGTTTTAAATTTGATATAGAAGAACCTGGAAATAAGAATTTGAAAATAAGAACCTGAAAACTAGGAAACTCCTAGTACCCACAGGTATCGGCGGAAACTGTGACACCTATGTGAAGCAGTACAGCCTGCCAAGAAATCAAGATAGCTAATTTCCCAAGCCTGACCTCCAGTGGTGAGTACAGGAAGTAAGACAAGGTGCACACTTTAACATAAGCTAACATAAATATACACGTGAGCAGTGAAAAACCCAGCATACATATTCAGGACCTCTCAAACAGACTGAGCATTATTGTACTTAATGAAGCAAATATAAAGAAGTCACATTCTGCCAAAAGGACAATTTTTTTGCCCATGAAAGTTGATACATTCTCTAACTATAGTATTCTGAAAACAAAGCAACTTTAGAGAGCCCAAATCTGACATAAACTGAACACAAGCAACATTCACAGAATCACACAATGGTTTAGGTTGGAAGGGACCTCTGGAGATCATCTAGTCCAACCTCCCTGCTCAAGCAGGGTCCTCTAGAGCATATTGCCCAGGATCACATCCAGACGGCTTTTGAATATCTCCAGGGAAGGAGACTCCACTACCTCTCTGGGCAACCTGTTCCAATGCTCTGTCACCCTCACAGTCGAGAAGTTTTTCCTCAGGTTCAGATGGAACTTCCTGTGGTTCAGTTTCTGCCCATTGCCTCTTGTCCTGTTGCTGGGCACCACAGAGAAGAGACTGGCCTCATCCTCTTGACACCCCCTCTCAAGATACTTCTACACATTGATGAGATCGCCTCTCAATCTTCTCTTCTCCAGGCTGAACAGGCCCAGCTCTTGCAGTCTTTCTTCATAGGAGAGATACTCCAGTCCCCTGATCATCTTTGTAGCCCTACATGTATTCCTAAAACAGTCATGTAGTCCCACAAAAGTTCTGGGCTACTAAAACTTCAATATTCATCGGCTTGTATTTATAAAAGTTTTCTCTTCATCCAACATATGCTTAGATTTCCACTAACTTAAGAAACTAATGCCAACAACCATTTAAAGTTTTTAGATCTGTTTTTTAAACATGAAAGGTTTTTGGAACTGCTAGAAAAAAAGGAAACAACTCATACCATGTTATATTAGGAAGCTGAAAGTTAACACAGCAGGCCAAATATCTCTGAAAGTCTGTCCTTATGAAATAGTCTTAGGATTGAATAGGAAAACAGGAATTCAACTGGCTGCAATTCCTTCCTCATTTAAACAATATTTTACAGAAACTACTGATCTACTTCTAAATATTTATATAAAAATATTTATATATGTGTATATATATATAATATATATATATATTTACAAGTCATATTTTCCTCAAAAAGTCAAAAAAAAGCAACATTAACCAAAGTTCAATAACTTTAAAAGAGATTACTTGAGCAGAATAAAACTGAACACTATTTTTTTCCATCAGGGAGTATTTTTCCACCCCAAAATGCATCTAGGTGCCTGTTACAAGATTTACAGAGAAAGGATATAAGTTTGGATATGGAATTTTTTTTTTGAAAACTGGAAAAAATATCCAAATTGCATGCAGTGGGCACTTCAGTTTACAAATGTAGATCAACTGTTCCAAAATGAAATATCTAAAAATATAATAAAGAAAACCTGCATATTTGCAAGCTACACTTGTGTGCAAAGCAAGCTACAGTATGTTGACTGTAGGGTAAGGAAGGGAAACAAAACTGCTTGATTCTCACAGCCATGAATGGCCAACTTTAACTTGCTAAATGGTGCAAAAGGAAGATCAACTTTTTTGGGTCATGAAAAATAATTTCCTTAATAAATGGTGCTCATTATCACTGAAGCAGATAAAAGTTAGCTGGAAGAAAAACAAAAATCTGAAGGATGGTATACTCCCTGTTCAATTAGCCAATTTATTTTTTCAAAATAAATTGGCTTTATTTATGCAATAAGGCTTTCTTCAGTGTTAAAATAATTAGCATGGAGGATACGGGGAGGGAAACATTAAAACTATTAGTGTATATAGTTAATAGGAACAGCTGCCTCACAGATGAGCACATCGGAGGTAGGGGGAAGGGAAAGTCTTATGTAAAAAATTAATTTATTTCAAATAAACTAAGCAAGTTCAATCAAGCTAAAGAGCTTATAAGTCTCCAAGGACTATTTTCAAAACGCCGATCCGTTTAACCCCATCAAAGCATGAACAAAATTGCTCAGAGAAGCATGCTCAAAGAAATTGCTAAACTAAGCAAAATGACTTCTCTCATAATAAGTCATAATATTTTAACCTAAGGGGTCCAATTTTAGAAGATAGGCCATAACACATGCATCTTAGTGTGCTATATTACAGCATACTGTATTTTGAGTAAAATGGATTATTTCAGAGAAAAACTGTGACAGCATAGACATGCTGTGAAAGCATAGACAGCACATTAAATGCAAGACATTTTCAAAGTGTAAAACTACCTGTAATATATTAAATATATATAAACAAAAATCATTCATGCAATTGGTTGCAATGCAAACACAGATGCTGTTTCCTAAAGCACCCCATCATAAAACTATTATTAATTGAACAACTTTTTAGTTTACTAGGTTCTGAAGGTCACTAAGGAAAAAAAACCCAAAAGCCACACCAAGCTTTTATTCAAAAACAAACAAAAAACATAACAACAACAAAACTAGCAGCAGTGCTGTGAATAATGGATATCACGAATGGAAAACCGTTGCAGAAAATGAAGTAGCAAGCTGATCAAAATCACAGCTATTGTCAAGAAGGCTTATTTCTGTAAAGGTACTCATAGGTCTTACAGAAGCGTTAAGGAATGAAAAGAAAGGTTTCTTTGTTCTGATATTCTAAGATCCACAACCATTTCCTTCTAATTGATGCAGTGTGTTGCATCAAAGGAGACTGGGCAGGTAATCAAACTATTGGTTTACAAAACGTTTTACCTGAAAAGCGTTAAATGCAAAAATCATACTTTCCTATGTGTTTTTCATAGTGCAAGGACAATGTATCCAAATAGTACTTTTTCTATACATATTCAGTACCACACCTTAAGCTGCATAAAATTAAACCTGAAAATAAATTTAAATTACAAACCAAAATTATCACCAGGAGTCCTCTTTCAAGGTAACATTTTATTTTTTTCCATTTGTAATTTACTTCCTAAAACAAAAACAAATCTTATTTCCACACATTAGTACAACTGCTGAATATCAGAGCAAGCAAGAAGCTCTAATATCAAATTTTACACTTGTCTTGCATTCCTTTTTAAAGTACTGGTTTTCACTGGTTTAAAAATATTTTCCAACATTTTGACTTGTCACTCAATCTTTCTCCTGAACGGGACTTTTTCTAACGAGCATTACATATAAATTAGTTCAGCAAGATTTCATATGTATTCAAAATCTTTTTTTAAAGAAAGAGATTTATGACAACATATGTACTGATTTTTAAATTGCATTAAGCTTTGTTCCATTAAAAAATAGAATTCAATTGAAAACATGCAAAACCTAAAATTTTAATAAATAAAACTCAAATATGCCTGATTTATCACAACAAGATCTAGCAAGAACATACTTTGTCATTTAACTGGACTTGGATAAGGAATTATCTCTATACAGTGAATTAGCAAAGTGTGTCTGGTGACCAGATTCCGAGTGCTGTTTAGGCAAACTAAAGTGCAGAATGGTGCTTTCGAAAAGCCTACCAAGCATTTACGTAGGTTAGACATATGACTGCTAGCAGGATTTCAATAACAGTTGGGTGCCCAGTATTGCTTTAGTTTTATTTTTGTGTTTTCTTTGGTTTCGGGTTTTTTTTAGTGCCTAACCCTCTCAGTAACTTCGTTTGTCGCTTCAGATACCCTATTTTCTTTACAGATCTAATTCCAACCCCTTCAAATTTAATTCAGGGTTATTAGGTCCAATCTTTCCCCACCTCTTTTTTAATTGGAAGCTCTCTAGTTTTTCAGCTCCCAGTTACTCAATTTCAAGTGAGCGAATTTAAATAGAGCAACAGCAAAATTCTCCGCTCCTGCAAGTGACATTAAAAACAAAAGTAAGGCCAAATATTTTTTGTGCAACAGAATCTGAAAATATTTACATTTGAAAACACGTAAGTAAATGTCAAAATTTCAGTCTAAAGTCTACAGATACATACAGTACCATGATATTGTTCTATTTATATCTCTGGCTTCCCTTTGGATTTTGCATTCATTTAAAAAATAACACTCTCATTGAAAGTTGAGGAAGGCTAGTGTATGTACAGTATTAAAAATTTTAACAATTACAGCATGTCTACACATAACACTGGCTGCCATGATTCCAAGTTTTCTTATCAAGAGGTTTATTTTTTAAGAAGTTAAAGGTCTAAAGGAAAAACACAACATCTAATAATAAGATTTTATCCACTGTACAAAGATGTGTTTTCAGATAAAAGAAAGAGAATCACAACCCAGAACTACTTACCAGAGAAAACAGGAATGAAATAAATTTCTCTTAAGGCAAAAATCCAATTATATACCACTTTAAAAGGCCCCTCGATATTAACTATAAGTAGGCTAACTCATTCAGCACCTAAAAACTTGCACTCATAACTTAATTTCTGTGCTGGCTAGAAGCCTACTGACTTTCCAGGTAGCCCAACTGGAGATATGGTCATCTTCAGAGATTAGAGCTACACTAAAGGTCAACTTAGTCACTACTTTTTCATTATTAGACAGCCTGCCCTCATTTATGTTAGTAAGTTATATAAACTTTGCGAAGAACAGGTATGAAACACTGAAAACAACAAAACAGATCTTAGAAAGCTATCGTTGAAAAAGCCAGAATACATCATCAGAGGAATTTCAATGCTTAAAAACAGATTCACATACGTTCATCCAGCCAAAGATTAGTGTATTAAAAAAAGCTAAGAAAATACTTTGTGTTTCAGTTCAGCTGCACTTGATTCAAGTACAGCTTGGAGGTTGGTTGTTATAAATTAATCATCATCACTGCCTCAGCAGCCAGAAGTACAGAAAAATGTACATGTTCACAGGATAAATAGAAGTCTCTCCTTTCCCAAAAAGCTATCTCACTCCAATATGGGAGGTCATCCACTCCAAGCCTTGGCATAATCTGAAACATAAGAGATGTTACATTGATACTAGTTCCATTCCAACATCTTAAGCATCTGCTACTTGTTTTATGTTTAAATCAATCTACTAAAAATAAATAGAAGCAGTTGGAATTTGGAGTGAAATATGAATAGAGTAAATAGCGTTTTAAATTAAATCTATTTGGGCTTTAACCACAAGAAGCTGATCAAGCATGCTATTTTACTGAAGCCTGGCATTCTTTCAATTTTTTCTTCTAAAGTTAAAACATGCAACTCCACTCACTAACTCAGAGGTATACGAAATCAAATAATTTTTCTTTTAACATAGGTTTCCCATGGGAGACTGCTTACTTGACAGCTAGACATTTTCACACTAATTATAAAATACAAATTTACCCAGACTGAATTAGCTAAAGGAAAGCCACTGTATCAAGCATTCCATAATCCCACTGCAAAACTAAAAAGATGCTATGTTAAACGCCAAGATTGCATGGGGTCTAGTCTGCTCACTCACCTAGTTTGCATCAACATTTAAAGGTCTCATGGGACAGAAGATAGACTTTTCTTCTGTTTTCCAGGGATACAATTTCTCAGTTTATGCTATCTTTATGCTTTACTTTTGTAAAGTAAATCACAATTTAGGTATTCATAAAGGCTAACTCAGCTTCCTGAGGCTAATCTCTCCAGAATCCTGTCAGGTCTTCCCAGAATTAGATCCCTAACCTGAATCGCCCTCTGGAATCTTTTTTGATGAGTTTGTTTCACCAGTGTCACAGTTTTAAATTCTCCGATTTTTCACCTGGTTTTTTTATTTTATTTTAAGAAAGATTAAGCTGAGGATGACCAGAGTTTCTAAACCAAAGTCAGTCTTCATGAATCTCTCCCCTCCTCCAAATACCAACTTGTTTGATTTAAGATCTAAGTTAGCACATAAACTAAATGCTCAAAGTGCCTTTGGCCAAAGCAGAGTAGGAGGAAAGTGGAGTTAACTGATAAGAAGTCCAAAAAGATACAATCCAAAACCCAAGTCATTCTTAGTAACACATCCCACCCTAAGGAAGCGTATGCTGCCAATCATTCCGCAAGACGTCTAGCATGAAATATTTTTTTTTAATGCAATGGAGAAGTGAGGAGGATGTTCTCATTTGCCAAATACTCAGTGGGATTCACCATGTCTGATGTCATAACATAACATTACTGCAAAGGTTGTACTATGTGGCTAAGGAAAAAAAATCTCAAAATGTTACATATTAGAAGACTATTTTTTATATAAAATGAAAGAAATTTTTTTAATGCAAACTGAAAGAATTCTTCATACAAATTTGGAATTTGGTCTATGAAAATAATCTACAAGTTTCAATAAAGAAAAGGCAAAATTCAAAACGTCCCTCTGACTCCAAAGATTAGAAGACATGCTTTGCAGTAGATCCAGAATGGTATTAATAAGCTTCTAAACCGGTGTTCTCATTTACCATACATTACTGAACTTAAATAGTAAACATTTACCCTTCTCCTGTCAAAGCACAACAAGACTGAATGTGCCATGGGTGATCCTTTATGGAGCTAAGGGTGAGGTATGTAGATATTTCAGCGGCTGTCATGCAACCCTTCATGTCCTGCTTGTTTGCAAAGATGAGAACTGCGGCCTTCCGTAAATCCTAGAAGTAATTTACAGTAGTTAGTATAAGGACCCAAAAAGGCTACTGTGTTAACTGTGGTCCTCAGAAGAACAGCATTCAAGCTGTTCTACAATTATATGGCAGCATGTATTTTTGACAGACTTACCACATTAAAAAAAAAATAATAATAATTACTCTGAGGCTGAAAAGAACATTAGACGCGTTCTGCACCACAGAGAATCAAATTATAGCATTTTACACAACAATTCTTTTGGCGTTGCCCATATATACATATGTCAACTAATTAAAGTCTTGTTAAAATCTATTTCACAGAGCTCCACACCATCCAGCCAGTGGAATTATTACTAGATAAACATTCCAAAACCTAAATTGGATGCTATCTAAATGGAAAAGTTTGTTAGATATCATTCCCTTGAAGTTATTTTCAACTTCAGTAGACAAGTTCTTTAGTGATTAAAGCAGCAATAATTTAAGAAAGTTATCTAAATACTTGTAAGTTTTATGCTGCTACTAAGTAGTTTTGCTTCTGTATGAAAATTAGGATTCCACAAAGCAGCTAGGCATGAAGAGGGATATATGGTTTTAGGAGTGCAGAAGGAAAGACAAATGCAATAGTCAGGAAGCTGGTAGGTTTTAATTAAGAGTGCTTAATAGAGATTTAAACCTGTATTAAATTTTGAGATAATTTCTCCATCAAGAGAAAAACAAGCAGCCCTTACGGTCCAAAGTCGAAAAATCACTCTCACAAGTAGTTCTTATTACAGTCTAGTCTCATTTCAAGTTGGCCTGCTGATTGTTTTCAGGACATGATTGATCACAATCTTGTAAGTGTTTGCAACACTGGAAGCTTATATAATTACATTGGAAAAATGCACCACAAAGTCATCTTTCCACCTTTTTTGATGAAGTATTCACTCCTTACCATCAGACTCAAACTAGATTAGCATTGAACTGTAAAGAAAAACTAATTCATTTGAAACAGGCCACAACACCCTCAGAGAAATGAACTCAACAGTTATTTGCACTGTACTAAAACCCTTTCCTTCAAGAAAGGATAAAGATGTTTAAATTTAAAACAACCCAAATTCAGCTGGAGAGTAACCACAGAAGATGTCAATGTACTTTAACTAATTCAATTTGGATGTTAGTTTAGGATATTAGGAGGAGTTGACCCAATGTAGAACAATCCTCAATACAACACATACTAAAACTAGAAATAAAATAATTCAGGAGGAAATTAAACTGAAACTAATTTATCTGTAGTATTATATGCACTCCTCAATATTAAGGAAGAAGAATAAAACAAATAAGAAGGAAAAATGGAATTGTCTGCTTTTTAAAAATTTTAAATTTCTTCAAATTTTAACCACTGGAAAAAAAAAAAAAGAGAGAGAAAGAAAGAGGAGAGAACAATAATACTGGTCACATGAACATGAAGTAATTCAAATTTAAAAGATTTTACAAGTTCAACATTTATAAAAGTAAAGCGTGATTTGATTACAATCCAGTGAGCCCTATTAAAAAGGTGTGAAGTGATGTGCAATCTTTATTATAGCTTGCCTGCTTACTTATAGTGCACACGGTTTTAAAATGTGCCCAAAATGCATGCATTTTCAGGCTCAATTTTTTTGTGATGGTATAATTCATGTTAACATAGGAAGCACGTAGTGTTCTCTGACTGTTCACAACAAAGGAAATGTATTATCCCAATTCTCTACTATACCTCATGAGCCAGCATTCTGTAAAGTTCTTCTTTTGTAATAGAAAGTCGCTCTCTGTCAATGCTGTCAACAACAAGAATGATGAACTAGGAAAAAAATAGTACAGTATGTAAATAAAGTAAAAATTATGAAGTAGATAAAGTCAAAAAACTACAGAAAGCACATTTTCAAGATACCACTACTGCAAGTCTTCGTATGTAAGAATGGTATGGGCTTTCAATAGATTAGAAACATTAGAAAACAGAACAAGAGGTCTATTGTTACCATCTCGTTCGTTAGAGCTTTGGGAATCCCACACAAAGATTATCGTTAAAAGAAAAAAAGATTGCATGTGTACATTTCAGAACTGCAACTAAGATATACTTTTATGTACTATGGTTAATCATGCCAATCTCCTAGTTGGATTTTCAGCCCCTACATCATAAGCAAAATAGTAGTTTAGGTACCAAAGCACCTACAGATTGTGGATCACACTTGGAATGTGGATGACAGAGACTCACTACACTCAATTATCGATGAAAACAATCATTACTGTATCCTACTACTTATATACCCCAAAAAACCACTAAACTGAAATTTAAATTCTCTATTGTGAAAGGAGCATTTTTAGAAATTTACGGTCAACTTTTTCACAAGGCTTAAGAAAAATTATTTCCAATAGTACAGAAGACCTTAAAGTTATATACCTGTAGGATTTAGCGTTATACTGTTGCACAATCGCTCAACCTTTGTAACGCAAAGGGCCTCTGCATCTGGCCTTTCACTTAAAACTTTTTAGTCCTTCACCTCGGCACTTGGAAGCTGCTATGGCAATGCCTTTGCCCTTACTGATCTTCCTAGCACACTGTTCTCATTGCCTTGCGCTTGTGTATAGCAAGACACTGCTATGTCTGTTACATCAGGTTTCCAGAGGGAAGCAATAGCCACTGGTGTGAGAATGACCTTCCCTTTTACCCCACTTTTTCTACCCCTTGTTTCACAGCTTATAGTGTAAAACCAGAAGGTAAAAAAACAAACAAACATGCTGTTACATAGAAAGTAATACTTAAACAGCTGGTAAGCATTATCCAATAACATGTGCTCACAAACTGTAACTACTGATCAGTGTTTAACACCTGCCCTGACCAACGGGTGTTCCAATCAGCACTAACACCATCATAAGTGTGAACAACCAGTAGGGAGATCAAGGGGGTCCTGATGAAAATTATAGAGCTACTATGGAAAAAAAACAAAAAAAAACAAAACCACCATACACCTTACAGGGAACACATGCTGAACTGGAGAGAACTCCCTGGAGATGACATTTATCTGAGACACGTCACTTCTCTTCCCAGCTCACCAGTGGGAAAAATTTTCCCTGTCCCTTTTCTCCTATTTTCTATGCTTTTGTTTTTTCCCCTGAGGATAACTTAACCATTAGAGATAACGTATACCATCAGCTACAGCTCCTGCCCCTCTCCCCCCGTCAAAATTTGTGCACCTAAGCCTATCTCAACATCCTTCTGTTCTGACTTTTAAAATAGAACTGCAGAATTATCCATGTCAAGTTGAACTAGTTAGGATAAGTATGCACTTAAAAGCTTATTTGTGGGATTTTACATCATTTTAAAGATTTTACTAGATTGCTTCCATTTACAGACAAGGAAACAGATAAGAGAGAAAAGCTGCATGCAAGTCAGTAACAAAAAAGGAGGATTACAAGTCACTGCTATAATTCTCCAACATATGCTCCAAATCACTTTGTCTTATAAAATTAAGGAGATTCATTGTCCACTGAAAGAGACCAGAAAGTATGAAAAACTAAGTCAATTTAATGCTGCTGTGACTTTCAGATGTCTGGCAGATGAGGAGGAACAGTAAAGGAATTATGAATAAGAGGGATGCTAGGATTAGCATACCAAACAGATCCCTTTTCTTCCTCAACTCTTTTCAATAGACAAAGCTTCTAAGTAAAGGAAAGTTCTTCCTTTCAACTGCTAGAAAGCACTGGATTTCAAACACTTATTAGCTAGAATGCAATGAAAAGCTTTTCCAAACAGGATCAAAAAAGAACCAAGACACGTATCTCCTCAAATTCCAGAACACAGGAAAATTCAACGCGCAAGGTCAAGAAGTTATTGTCCCAGATATTGCTTGCAGAAGTCTCTTCACCCTCTCTCACTTGTCATAGCCATGTTTTTCTACACAGAATTAAAAATAATTCAAAAAAAAAAAAAACTAGGAGCGAGGCTCATCATCAGGCTTTCAGTAGTTAAAAAGTTTCTGAACGCTTGAGTGGATCACTCTAACCTCCCACTCTCCCAAAGGGTGGCAAAAGGCAGAAAACCTCATTGTACAGGAGGTACAGGAGGATGGAACACTTATATAAGAAATAACATTTACAATCAAAGCTACCTTTACTTTTAATAGAAATGCTAAAAAAAAGTTTAAAATTCTTTACATCAATGTACAAGCCTTACAGTGAGCCTACAGAGATTTTAAGTGCATGTTGGGTTCACAGCCTTTTGCCATCAAAAAGCTTGGATGGGGGTGGGGGGGGCAGGGAGGAATCAAGAGGACAACAGCTGATGAGTTCTATTCCAACCTTTATAGCAATAGCAGCTTTACGAGTACGTCCTGACTACTACACAGCTAGCCTTCCCATTATCCTTTGGATAAAAGCCACAAGCTGCTGAGCTTTTTAAACACTGCTGCACGGAGAAAGTTTTGTTCTTCATCCTTAATTATCACTGCCTAAAAAACATTTCAGACTAGACATACAGAATTTAGTTTAACCACTGTAAATCCTCACTGAATTTGCCAAGTACACTGAAAAAACTTGCTTTTTAAGTTACTTGAGAAAAACATGCAAAAAATCAGTTTCATTTAAAAACTTATATCATTCAATTACCTAGGAAAAAAAAAGAGCCCAACTTCACATTTCATTCCACAGGTCAGACAATAACACTAATTTATAGCAGGGAAAAAAAATATGTTAAGTATTACCACATAATTGGCTGCATGCCAGAGACACCTTACACTTTTTGAGCTTGTTTTTTCCTCAAAAATATTTAAAGATAACATAGCTGCAATCTTCATAAAGGTCTACCAATAATCCCAATAAATAAGTACATACAAATTAACTTATTGAATTTGCAAATTGGAAGCAGCTTCACATACCTCTGTGTTTGAATAATAGGTATTCCATGATGACCGTAATGATTCTTGTCCTCCAATATCCCACATGAGGAAATGAGTATTTTTCACTACTATTTCTTCTACATTGCTCCCTATGGTTGGAGAAGTATGAACCACTTCATTCATCAAGCTAAAGAAAACAATATTACACCATGAATAACAACCAACAAAACGCACAAATACCAACCAACAAAATCCACAAGGCTTGCTACAGATCAATTGGAATGAATTTGCTGGAGGAAGAAAAATGCATGTTTTAGCTCTCTTAAAAGGATATCAAACTAGGCATTTTTCAAGAAGCTATATACTTGAACTTCTACAGAAATAAACCAAGTATTTTAGAACAGTTCTAAACTGTAGTTGACAAAGTTCTCCTACAGTACTGTTTTGGTAGCAAAGAAACTGTATACATGCTTAAAGACATCAGAAATGAAAAATAAGCACAGAAAAGGCTTACAACAAATGGATAAGCATCTGTATCTTTAACAGACTTCTCATGTTAAAGGGAAGACTATTCTTAAAATGCGCTTGTTTCAAAGCAGAAAGTTGCTATTCTAACGATCTTCAGATAAGGAGAAAATTCAGCTGTGTAGAATATAACTGAATATAACTTATCAGAGCACCCAGCTTATTAAAATGCAATCTGATTTCATAACAAATTCCGAAGGGCTGATTGACTCCTGGGCTACTTAGCTGAAAATATCTCAGTTCTACTTTTTACCTTTGCCAACATGCTTCAGAAAAAGGTTTTTTGGAAAATATCCTCTTCTGCCTTCCTATCTAAACATATGCATAGTTATTTAATTATGCCCTCCTCCTTTTCCACGATCACTATAGTAATTATGTTCCTGCCAATATTGTCGAATTTATCACGGACATTTCTGTAATATAGGCAAGATTTGGGGTGGTTAAGTGTAATGTCAACAATACTGGGACATAGGATTCAGGAAACGTTTGGAAACCTTCATGGATTTTGCTGACTTACTAGAATTCCAGTTCATTTAAAAAACACTTTCTTCTCTGCAGTTTTCAGTCACAGGATGATTTCTACATTTACCAATTAAGATAGACTTTAATAGCAAAAGAATTAGCAGTTCATTACATGCTTGTACAATTATGTTATTCACTCAATTTACAGTTGAGTTTATCAGTTTCGGATAAAGGAACTGCTGTGTTTTATCATTTAAATACTAAACTGAAATATGTTTAGAATGACTAACCCATGTACATACTGTGCACTAAGGTACCCCTAGAGTTTCTATCACGTTTCATAACTGAATTTTCAATGACTAAGCAGTGACAAATACAAAAAACAGAAAACGGAAAAAAAAAAAGATCTTATACTTACAACTGGTAAAGAATGGTGGTCTTTCCAGCATTATCAAGTCCCACTATGATTACCTTGTGCTCTGCATATACACACACACACAAAAAAAGAGAAGAATAAACTACTGGAAACAGCAATAATTACAATTCTAGTTAATCACTTTTTTTTTTTTTAACTAGAGGAAAGCAACTACTTGTTGTCTTAGTTCAGTAGCCTACACAGATGCTGATGACTTTTGGAAAAAAGCACAAAACCTCACCTTCTGCTGAGATTACAGTTTTAGGAAAAGTCAGTATTTGAAGCCTTCTTCATAAAGAAATGGATATTCATATGATTACTTTATATAAAATTTTAGTTTTAGAAACAAAAGTACAAGGAAAAATATAATTCATAGCAGTGCATCATCTTAAGTATATCTCCAAACATCCCAAATATTATTGATATCTATAATACAGCAAAAAAAAAAAAAGCCACCATAAGTTATTTAGAATTTTGAAAGACATTTCCACAGAACAGATGTGTCCGTGCATCTTCAGAGTCATGCAAAATAAATCCAAAGTCCGCAGAAAATATTAATCTAACATGCAAGGATCAATAATATATGCCCCATTTAATGGACTACTATCATTTGCACAGCAAAAAGTAAGAGGAAATTATATTTTGAATGGATCACAAATTCCAGCACTATAATTTCTGAACCGAAAACTGCTGCTTATATACCAGCGATCTGCTAAATGCAGCACTAATGCACAGGGGGAATTATGTGTTTCTCTGAACTTAATCTTTTTAAAATTTCAAATAAAGCAGCATAGCCAGTTAGAATTACTTTTGAAACACGTGTAAAGTTAGAAAATACTGGTTCACTTGCCCATAAAAAAGCAAATCACTTGAGAGCAGAGAGAAGTTACAAATGGATACTAGAAGTAAAAATTGACTAAAGCATGTAAACAGGCTCATTTTTGAAACAGTCGTATTTAAAAGTCTAGGGCACTTATTCAGAAGCAAAACATGGCTCACAGGTTAAAGACTTCCTCTAAGATATCATATTTAATTTACAAGACTTATAAGAAATTACTAAAAGGTCTGAACATTTGTCATAAATACCATGTTATTTTGTTTTTCCCTGCAGGTGGGTGGTCTAAGAAAGGAAAAAAGAAATTTCTTTAAAAAAAAATCAGCTAAGTCTATGTAGTTGTGTGCGTGTGGGGGGGGAGAATTATTTACGTATTATAATCTAATATTTTTTATCCTGAAAGTGATTTTATCAAAGAAACTTTTGATTTGGACTTTTAAAAGTCTTGCTATGTGATACAGCCCTCATGAGTCTTGAAACATTTCCCGATATCACCTCCCCTACTGCCACATCCTGCCAAGGCATCTGAAGGAAATAGTTTTTCCTGGTCTTAAATCCAGTAATCTTTTTCTCTACATAAGGAGCAGTACCAGTAACTAATAACCTCTTTTAATATGTAAGTGGTTTTTGTATTCAGATCTAGTGGAGTGAATTATACCAATACATCTGTGAGAGAGAATACAAAATTCTAATTACACGTAGAAGTGACTCATGAATTATGCCTTCATATATTTTCCTAGAGCTAGTCTAAGAAACATACAGGCTCTAAATCACTCCAATAAAACCATGACACCTATCGAGAGTTTCTGTCTCTTTCAAATTAAGTAAATTCAAAGGGCTTTCAAAATTTAAAGACAAACACCCTTCTGTTGTTCTTAAAACAGCTGTGCTGTCAACTGTCCTGGAAGACGACGACTCTACATTTGTAGCATGCTGTTTGCATTATTTTTGAGGAGAAAAGAAAACAAATTCTGGTTAGGCATTACATCCCCCATGTCCTACCTTCGCATCAGAAGCCAAACATTCAGAGTCTTACTGAAGAATGAATGTGAAGAGTGTCAGGTGAAACAGTACCACACTCCCCACAGTGAGAAAGTAGTACTATCTTTTTCCCCAACTCAGATGATTGTTTCTGAAAGCTATTTAAATATGAACTTTTCAGTGTTTGTCAAATAGTTTTTTATATGGTGACTGAATAGTCACACAAGGTGACTGAATAGTCACACAAGAGTTGAGAATTAATGTTGAGGTAGAGATGAAATTAGTGAGAGGAAAGCATGAATATCGCACGCAAACAGCAGTGTTCACCTTTCACTAACGGCAGAACATTTTGTTGCTTTCAAAACTACGTAATCACTATTTACACCGATACTCATCTATGTTAATGCAAAACTCTTCACTTGCAAACATACACAAAAATCAAATTTTTTATCTACTTAGGTCAGACTATGAGATTTTGCTTGTATATATACACACACTAATGGAAGAGCATATGAACATAAAACTTGCCATACTAAGACAGAAAAAACGTTTAGCTAGATGACTTGTTTCCAAAAGCAACAGGTAGAAGATGCTTCATGCAAGAGAAAGGACAATTATGGAGTAAATTGTAAGCAGTGATTTAGGCTCCTATTTGAGTTCTATACTCGCAGGCTACCCCAAGTTTCTCCTTTTCATTGGCTGGTATTCAAACTCGGTTTGGGTTGTATTCATGAAAATCTTCCCAGTCCACTATATACTTGGAAAAGGGAGAAGAAAATCCAAAATAAAGTTGCAGAGAAGAGCAGCAGAATCTTTATAAATTGTGCTGAATGAGGAAAAAGTGAGTGCAAAAAAAAAAACCCACAAAAGAATTCTGCTATATCAACCACTTCTGGGCACTTGTTAAAAAAAATTAGTAAATTGCAATAATATTGTTACAAAACCTCTGGCAGTCTAATATTACAAAGTAATGGCACAGTGAGGATGATCTTCTTGCTGATAGGAGAAAGAAGAAATAATATGCCTTTTTTTCTTCACTTATTCTTATATATTCCTCTGTGATAGAAGGATCCAACATTGAAGATACAATCCTCACAGCTTTTCACTTTCTTCTTTCTAATTTGCAAGTATTTAAAAAAAAAAGAGAGAGAGAGCAAGCAGCTAAATCTTTTCATGGTAAACAAGAATTTTTTCCTCTAACACATTTGAAAAATGTGCATCCTTTGCTACAAAGTCAGACTTTACTATTTGTGCTGCATATGTCAGAAAAGGTTTATTAAAGCATGTTTTGCCTTCATAATTGTTTTCAATCCTTTTACATATCATTTCCATTTAAAAAAGAAAAAAATCAGTCAAGGAACTATTTTTCTTAGGTTATAATATCAAACAATATATTATGGGCATGATAAACTGTCTTTGCAATATATCTTCAGTTTAGCAAAATAAGAAAATTCAGGAATAAAAACATTTATTTAGAATGTTACACCTTTATGTAAAGCAAAACTCAGTACATAATACTCTAGTGAAATGCCCACAATTTGCTCTTCTGTATCTTCTAGCACTCTGGCACAACTCCTCCATGGTCTACTTGATAGAAGACAGATAGCGCTTTCTAAATCTTTGCCTTGTTTAGCCATTTTTTTTTTTGCCAGTATCAAGTGCTTCAGACTAGCAGCACAACCCACACTACCTATGATAAACTCATGACGTGCTCTACACAAAGCTAGGCCTAAGAAGCATATTTGTATGTTCGTAATATTCCCTCTAGATATTTGTTTACGTGAGGATTTTGCTCATACTAGTGTGCTCAGCAAACAGTTTCACAGGACGGTCTAAGAATTCGCCAATAAATTGCCTAGATTTGATATATGATTAGAACAGCAACAGGAAACAACTCAATAATTACTATCCCTTTCTATTATTATTATGGGAAAAAAAGCTGTGTAAATGGAGAAGAATTTTTTCCTAGAGAAGTCTGAAATTTACAGTTAACTTTCCTGGCAAAGAATTTCAATTTTGGCCATGAAAATGAAATTTCTTTCCTCTCTATGGGTGCCACAAGAGGAGGGGGTAATAACCAAAAATCAACTCCCCCTCTCCAACAAGACAAAAACATAACCCACGCACCCGCAAAGGAATAGAAGCCAAATGTTAAGTATTTCACAGTATTTCCTCACTATTGCTGTGATGCTAATTGTCATTAGCATGTTAAGAATATGAAGAATAACTTTCTTCTCAGGAATTATTATACAAGAACAAAAAGAATGTGGCTTTTCCCCCCCCTCTAATGAAGTGGAATCAATGTAATCTAATATTATGATTTACTAACAAAAAGAAAATCAAAACAATGAAGCTGCAACTCTTCCTTCCTTTCCCAAGATCTGTTTGGTGGCACCCTTATGGTGGCAATATTTCTCAGCACTAAAAGCCAACAGAAGTTATTTTGCAACTAGTCCTCTGCTTAGGGATATCTTGGTGTAGTCCTTGAGGGAAGGAAGGGAGAGGCAGACTGCTGTATTGAATAAAAAGAATCCTGGCAGTATTCAGGGTTCCTTGGGGAGCAGGGGAGTCCTTGATTCTCCCTCAAAGAGTTTTTCAGTTCAGAAAAAAAAAAAAACAAACAAATCTTCAAATCAATAATTAAATCAGAAGACTTTATTAAAAGACTTGGGGAGGGAGGTGGCAGGAGGCTTAAGGAAAAAAGAGTCTAGATATCTACACATCTCCTTTGCCAGGAAGGGACTATTTGATACACAAACCTAACATGTACACACACAGAGACTGCGCTCTGGTATTTACAGAATTAGAAAGGGATATGTTCACTCCGTTGACAAGACTATTAAAGGAACTCCGGGTATACCTGCCTCCAAAAACTTGCAAAGCTGTACTGCACAAAAGAAATAGAAAAGAAAAAAAAAACCCTCTCCCCCCAAATCCTGAACTTTTAATAGTTTTAAAGTGAGGATGATGCTTTCTTTTGGAAATCTGATGAGAAAACAACAACATTAGTAACATTGCTTTGTTTGCTCCAAACGCATATCTTCAAGAAAAACAGTACAAACATATGACGAATTGTCTATGTTATCCTCCTACCAAGCAAAGATAATTAAACAAGGTTAACTAAAATAAATAAATAAAAACATAATTTCCTATTGTTAATGACAACAGTCTGAGACAAAAGTGGTGGCAGCTACAAGTTTTGAACTCCAGAGAAAAGCACGGGCTGTTAGTGGAGGAAGGCAGCGGTAGGTAGGGACTGTAGGATCCCCTTACAGTCCTTTTATTCTTGTTTCGAGAAGAGAATTTCTTGGGTCACTAAGTGTTTCTAATTAACTAATAACTTTTACCAAAATAAAACTTTACTTTAAAGACGCCAACATACGTTCGTTTTTCCAAACAGCACAGATAAAAACAGCGTGATTTTAACGGGAGACCCCAGTTTAGAACAGAAAGACGGTCTGCAGAAAACGAGCAAGAACTTGATCGCCCATCAAAGCTTCCGCTGCTGCACCGGTGAGAAAACGAATCC